TTATATATTTCATTTTCTTTCTGATTAATTAGCTTTCCACTCTTGAGAGTTATATAAAGAAACTTGAAATGTTTTTGAACATGTATCAAAACATTGCTCACATAATATATGGTTATGTATAAAATTATTATGAATATTCATAAAATTAAGTGTAAATATGTTAATCAGAGGAGGCAATCCTATATTGTTGATACAAGTTTGAATTCCACAATTATTGTTAAAGACAAATAGAGAACCACAAAATTGATGCTTCTTGCACTTGTCGCATCTACGTTTTCCAATATCCTCAATTTCTTTATAATGCTTTAAATAAAGTTTACCAAAACCTGACCAATAGGATTCGATCAGACTGATATATCGTTGTCCTTTGTTGTTTTTGAGTATTTTTTTCTTAATTACAGATTTCAATTTTAAACAATTTTTCACTCTTTGCCGACAATAAACACATTCTTTTTCTCTATCACAGAGCATTTGATTACGTTTACATTCTTCACAACGTTGATAAGCTTTGTCGAAAAAGACCTATTCAGTTTTTTTCTTTTTTTTGATATGTTTAAAATCGTAAACTTCTGGTGAACCTTGTATTAATCTGAATCTATTGTGCTCATAAAATTTATAGTAATTCGAATCATTTATGATACCTAAATATAATGTATGAAAGAATCTACATGTTTTTCCAAAATGATATTGGTCTTTTTGTGTTAATAAAAAACCATATATCATATACAAAATCTCAAAAGGTAAAATAAAGATTTTTGAGTTTTCTTTTGAAAGAATTTCTTCATTGTGTTCTTGTTTAATTTTTTTCACTCGTTGAGGATCAAAAAAACTTTCTTTTCTTTTTTTAGATATGAATAAAAATAAATTTGTAAAAATAAAAATCTATTCGGTTAAATACTGAATAGATATTATTTATTTTTTTGTTTTTTATTTACAAATTCGATAATTTCTGATTTTCTTTTTAATGAAAAAAATTCTGTTATTAAAGGCTGTTTTTTTTTATTAGGTTCATCAATTTCCATTGATTTCTTTTTTTCTTTTTTAGGTTGTACAGAAAAATATTGTGTTATTAACCGTTGTTTTTTTCGTTCATTTTCCTCAAATATTTTCTAAATTAGCTCTTCTACTTTTTTTGTTTCACAATTTAGTAATGAAGCACAAATATCTTGTAAGCTGTTGAAATAGTGTATGATATCAATTCGAAGATTTTTTTCTTCTTTGTTAGCTGTGAAGTAATCAAATGGAAGCATCTTATCTGCTGTTTTTTTCATGTTTGGTATACGTGTTATTAAATAGTAAAAACAACCAGGTTCGATTATTATTTTTTGCTTATCTGCCATTCTAGTTACATATGATATTACCATCCTGTTTTCTTTTTTGGTTTCATCACCTTTTTCTTTTCGTTCTTCCATATTAAAGAAATTTTTTACACTTACACATTGATTAGTTGTCGGATCATATTTTGCAGTAAGCTTAAATAATTCTAATAAAACGTTGTCTTCATCTGTATATTTTGAAATAACTTTTAATATTTTATCTTTTAAACTAGCTTCATCAACTAAAATCTGTTTATTTTCATAGTTCAAAGATAACCTGATTAATTCTTCAGCAACTGTCTTGTAGAATTTTGATATGTTTCTTTTTACCACTTTAAGTCCTTTCATTAAAAGTATTAGTTTATCAAATTCAATAAATTGAGTATCTTCTCTATGCTTACATCTGCAGTATTGTTTTTTATGTAAATATAAAGCTGGCATCATTGTTTTTTCATATGCCATCTTTAAATATGGTTGACCTGTCAACTCTTGTAAATATTTGTTTATTTCTTTTTCAAGTATCTTTGATTATATTATGGTTTTTTTTACTATCTCATACCAATATAGTTGTTTTATCTTTCTATGAATATCTGGTGATATTTTTTTATTTCTTGTATTATATTTGAAATCCAGATGTTGAAATAAATATTCTGGAATTATATAAAAAAATGAATCTGTATCACCATAAATTATTATATAACTTTTTTGTTCTGCATATTGTATCATCCTTTTAAGATTTGAACGTGCAAATCCTGTGACCGAAGAAGAGACATATTTAAGATAAAATAGAGAATATCTATAACCAGTTTTACCGTAAATAGAATTTGCAATTGTTTTGAGAGCATTTTGTAAAGAATTATAATAAGAATATTCTTGTTTGTTATTGGCTTTTTTCATATTTTTTTTTGCTATAGCCCGATCTACTAATAACATTTTAGACATCAATAGCATTAATCCCATTTTTGTTTCTTTGTTATTATGTTGTCTAAATTTATCATAAACTATTCCATTATCAATTATTACATTTAGATTTTCTTCTTGTGAATCAATATTCACACAAGTATCTAAAGAAATATTATTCGTGATTATGGTATTTGGATAATAAGATGTAAAATCTACATCAGCAACAGGGCAATTATTTGGATTTTTTCTTGGATTCAAAACCAAACCACCATTATATTTTTCTTCTATTATGTCTCCTTTTCTATGTAAAGAAACTAACATATTATATTTTGCTGCATTTCTCACCAAACAACCAACACCATTTGTGAATACGTTTGATATTGTGACGCAAGTTAAAGTTGCAAATTGTATATAATCACCAATTATATTTCATTTAATCATAAGCTCATGTAATCGTATAGTATCAACTGAACAATAATATGCTAATTCTATAGCATATTCTTCTAATATAAAAGGATCCTGTATTATCATAGCTTTACATTTTTCTACTGAGATCTTTGTTAGGTTTGATAATTGTTCTGCTAATTTTGTTAATAATTGAATATTATTCTTGAATTTAATTGTGTTTATATAAACAAACATACAACATAAATCTTCTGATGAATCTGGTATATATGGTAAATCTACTTTCCCCAATAATTCACAATGTTTTAATACAACATCCAAGGTATTTTTTATTTCTGTAGGAAATGTTTTTTTTGCCTAAACTAAAAGATCAATAAAAATTGTTCCTGGTAAATGATAATATTCACAGATCATTGTTTCAGTTAGATTTACTTTAATATTTCGATTAGAACTTTCAATTCCATAAATTTTTCTCTGCATCTTTTCATCAATATCTTTTTCATATACTTTTATTTTAGTCTCTCTAATATTATTTAGAATATCTTGTTCTAGTATTTGACTGATTTCTTTTTCAATATTTAATAAATATATTTTTTTTAACATAAAATTCCAATCAAATCCTCCGGTATTGAATCCAATTTCAAAAGAAGGTAAATATTTCTTGATCAATTCAAAAAAATTTATAATTAATTCTTCTTGAGA